TTTTTTTTTTTTTTTTTTTTTTTTTTCCCCGCACGTGCACGTGCACCACTCTCTCGCGCATGGCGCACAGCGCCCCGCGCCGCACTGCGCACCGTACCAGTGCGTCGCAACTATGAATTGGAGGCGTCGAGATTGCAGTTGAGATTGAGAAAGAAGGCAAGGAGCCGGAATCAGCCGTACACAAAAACATAGACACGCTGCGAGTCACAGAATGCCAGAACATGTGTAGCTTGGAAACAAACTCGTCGTCGCGTCCCTCTACCGGTTTCGGCCTCAGCTATGGGGTACGAATTACCGCCCTCACGGACAGACAGCAGTAAGTCTGGCGTCCCTCTACCGGTTTCGGCCGAAGCCAGCATCCAGCCTCGTCAGGAGGGGAAAAATGTTCCGAGATGCGAAATGAGTAACTTGTAGCTCTTAAATCCTGAAAATCCCGTATAGGCTGCCGGTAAGTGCTCTTCCTGGAAATTAACTTTACCTCTTCAAACGTAAAAACGTTTTTACAAGATATCCAGTTCCAAGACGTGCCGGCGTTCCGCTGAAGATGGAATATCTTGTCCAAATCTTGTCGGAAATCTCCTCCAAAGTCCAAATTGGAAAACCCCGTGGAAAATCGTCCGCAGGGATTTCTTTTTGCCTTTAACTAAGCTGAAAATTTCAAAAAATCCTCAGTAATTCTGATGAACTTTCTGAGACCGGTAACACGTTTCTGTTTTTTTTTTTTGGGTGGGGGGGGGGGGGGAAGGGTAACACGTTGACATTTACGTGCAGCCTTCACGCGGTCCTCCAGGGGCCCGGCACCACGTTAGCTGCCCTCTGCTGGGCACATCGGTAGCTCAGCTGAAATAAATCCTATCGGTCTTTACGACTCTTTATCGATACGAGAAAACCCGAGAAGATCTCGCAAGAGTCGAGCCTCTTGGGATAAGGTAAGGTATTGTTTTAGACATGTTCTGAACAATGTCGTAGTTCAAACTACATCCTCCACAAAGAAGTCAAAATCGGCGCACTTAACAGCCATTTGCTCTAACCACTGAGCTACTAGAGACCTTTCTATTGTCGTATTTTTTTGATAGTCTTTTGAAAATCTATCATATTTTGCTGAAAAACATCGAAAAATTCGAAGATCCGAAAGACCCACGCTTCTAAATGTTGCCTGTTTGTCATCCTATTTTTCTCTGATGTCATAAGACTTTCGGATATGATGCGATTTTACTGTCCCTTGCAATATATTGTATTTCTCTGCATCGAGTACGTAGTCTGTCATAAAAAATAAAATAAAATATATCTTCTCTTTTCTTCTAAGGCCTAGGATCAGTGGCCTCCGCTTAAGTTACTGTTTTTACAATTACCATCCGCAGTAATTTGTTTCCTCCAAGACGGCGGCGCTCGTTTACGAACGAACTTTTTCAAGCAGCTATTGAAGTATTTTCCCGGGGAATCTTGGAGTCTCAGCATTCTCTTTAGCGTAAGCAGTCGTAGACCTAATAGTTTAACGTCAGAAGTCATTCGGTAGATACGATGGAGACAACATGTGATAACCGCTTTCTTCTGAGGAATAGCTGAGTAGGATTTGAAATCCTGGATAGTTCTAAACGTAAGCTTTCCGTCTTCCCAAATTTCCTTCGAGTTTCTTTGAGATTGCAGACCACCAATAAAAAAAAAAAGAAAAAAAAAAGAGAGAGAGAGAGAGAGAGAGCTTGCAGACCACAGGGACTACGGACCATCTATTTTTTTTTCTTTTTTCTTTTTTCGGAATTTTTATTATTTCTCCTTTTTTATCCGGTCCCAAATTAGTTGTCATCGTTTGAATTCCTCCCCCATGCCCCCACCTGAAAAAAAAGGAGAAATAATAAAAATTGAAAATTCCGAAAAAAAAAAAAACTGCGTTCAAGTGCGTTGCATGTCCATTAATGAGAGTCGGTGTCACTGGATGATTGGTTCCAAAAGATTGGCTAGAATGATGGAAGATTTTTTATTTTATTTTTTTAATTGCTTTTTGTTAGAGCCCTATGTAGAGGGGGGGGGGGAAAAGAACAATAGGATGATCGAAGATTGACTGGCCTGGCAGGTAACCTTTCTTTCTGTTGTTGTCAATCAGATATCCATCCTCGGACGCCCTGTGAATCGGACGGTCGGTATGAAAAGCCGCTTCTACGGATACGATGGCTGCTCTTGTACTGTTGAAGAGCTTGCCCTGCAACACTACGCCAAAGAAGAGTATGGCCAATGGGTGGGGGTTCATTCAGAAAACGGAATTTGGAATACCCTTTTCGGAATCTTAATGTGGGATGTGCTCTTTGCAGACGTACCGGATGTTTTCCGCACCCCTTTCCAGGTTAGTAAAACCCATATAAATAATAAAAGTTACGTTTTTTTTTTTGTTTTTTTTTTAACAAAAACACCGCCACCAGTGTTAGTGCTGCTGGTAAGAGCAGACAC